CTAGAAGCAGCCTACTTTGAAGTTTGGGGTTTTATCTGACTAGCCAGTTAAGAGAAACCGCTGGTTTTAATCAATTTTCAAAGGAGGGGATTCACTAATAACATCTGTGTGTGAGTGTATGTGTGTACAAACACACACATATATGTCATGTTGTATATTCCTATGTTCAATGACATAGGAAATTACTGGTGACATGGTAAATGAAATAAGCCAGATTATAAAATGTATGTGAAATGGCTCATGAATTATGAAAAGATGTTCAACCCAACTGAAATAAGGGACATGTAAATAAATATTAGCTGTAGTGAGATATCATTTTCCCTCCATCAGATAGGCTAAAATCTAAAAGTTTGACAATACATTTTGTTGGCGAGGCCTTGGAAAAGCAGGCCCTTTCACACATTCTTGGTGGGAATGCAAATTTGTACAATCTTACCTAGAGAAAAAAATGTCAAAATTAAAATGACATATTTCCCTGTTGAGATTTCAGACTATAGATATCCTTGAGTGATAGATGTAAGTTATTCATGACAACACTCTGTAATAGCAAAAGGTTGGAAACAATCCAAAGTCCACCAATAAATGACTGCTTGAATAGTATTATACATTCAAAAAGTAGAATACTGTGTAGCTGAAAAAAGAGAAGATCTTTATGAACTCATGCAGAAAGATCTCCAAGACATATTGCTAAGTTAATAAAGGGGGTATAGAATAGTTTGCATAATAAGCTGTTTTGTATTTCAAAGAGGGAGACAATCCACATTTGTGTTGACTGGAATGTCTATTTTGCKTCAAAAGAAACTAAGAACAGTATTTACCTGGACAAATAGTCATCAAAATTTTAGTAAATAATGGAAATATGATTGATTAAAGAAGTCATGGGAATTTTATTATTCACGATAACGTATCATATTTTTAAAATGCAAAACAGAGTGTAAATGAAGTGTAAATGACTTCCTAGGAAAAATGACCAACTGCATCTGCAGAATTTTGTGGTCCAGAAGCCCCTGCCCTTGAACATAGCAGCAGCAAGGGATGTAAGCCCTGATTAGATGGGCCTTGTTCTCAGATTTTACATTTGCCACTTCTCTCCAGAGAAAAACATTTGGTTTATCTTCCCTTAAGTTGGGAAAATTCAGGGGAGCTGGCACATAGGAGTGAGCAAGATAAAATTCAGTTCAAGCAAACATCAGGATGGGTGGGGCTAGACACATGTTGAGCATTCAGAGGTAAGTTCCTATGAAAAATGTCATCCTAGACAAAGCCCCACACCTCAGAAAATAATTTCTTCTGGAGAATTTTGGGGTTATCTCAATGAAATCAGTTTCTTAAGGTTTGTGAAAAAAGAAAAGAAAGGAAACTTTGCTGAGTTTTTAATTTTAAGTTAAAAAATAATGAAATATATATTCCAGAAAATGGGCATGTCAGATTATCTGGTATTATTAGTACTTTTAAAGCAAACATCCATTTAGCTGCAGCCCCTGAGCTGAATATATATAACAATGTCATCCCCTCAGAAACACTTGTCACACAACATTCTTTATTTTCATGATGTCCACTTCCTTGCTTACTATAAATGTAGTTTTGCCACTTAAATATTTCAAAAAACGTCATTTTGTTTTGCTTGTTCTAGAACTATTTTTGGTAAGAGCTTTCAATGTAATGTGAAGCTACATTTTGTTCATTTCATTAGCAATATAGTATTCCTTTACATGCTTGTACCACAATTGTTTATCCATTCTACTGATGATAGACATTTAAAATATCTCCAGTGGAAGGCGTTTAATACAGAGAGCCAAGCATGGTGGCACATGCCTATAATCCCAGAGACTCAAGAGTCTGAGGCAGCAGGATCCCAAGTTCAAGGCCAGCCTAAGCAACTTAGCAGGGCCCTAAGCAACTTAGAGAGACCCTGTATTAAATTAAAAAAATAAAGAAGAGTGAGGATATGGGATGCTGCTTAGTGGTTAAGCACCCCTGGGTTCAATCCCCTGTGCCCCCTCCCAAAAAAGGAACAATGCCAAAGAACACTGTTAGGTGTACTAGGGTACATATGTGCATGAGTTTCTCTAGCTCCTCTTAGTGAAGTTTTGAGTTTTGGGATATGTACACCTTCTTTTCTTAGATACATGAAAGTATCTTCCAGCATAATTTTATCAAGTTATACTTCTAGCAATCACCAAAATACTCATTGCCTCATATCCTTTGAAAGTCTGAAATAGTTTTTTCCTACTTATTAACATTTGCTAGTTTGATAATGTGTAATAATATCTCATTATAGTTTTAATTTGCATTTTGCTGGTGAGGAATGAAGTCATGTGCCTCTTCACATATTTAACAGATATTTGGATTTTTTTTTTTTTGCGTGTGAAGTGTTATGTTTCAAAACTTTTGTCCATTTTTTAAATTAGATTACCTGCTTTCACAATGCTTCATTTAATCAATATATTAATAAAGAGTCCAAATGATGAATGATTAGGCTTGAAGGTATATGATGTAGCCAGAATGCATTTGTGGCCATCTATAATTTTTTTTTCATAAAATGCTTTTATGTAATTATTGGCACAAATTATCTGAGAGACAAATTGGGCTTAAGCATCTGCTCAGCACACTACCCACTGCTGATCATCTGCCAGTGAACCCTGATCAGTGAATGATACAAATGTCGGTAGTTAACATTCAGTAGTCCTTAACCTTACACAGGGCCCTGAGCTAAGCACTTCGTGTGGGTTCTTTTATTTGCTTCTCTGAAAACCTCTATGTGGAATGTACTGTTACGCTTAGGGGCTTAAATGAGTGGACTGTTTATGTCTCAATAAGAGAGTGATGGGCCTAGGAGGTGACCCCTCACCTAACTCCAGAGCCCACACCCTTACTCTAATAATAATAATTTCTCGTTATTTTACTGCCTCAAAATAAAGTTTCCATCTGGTTTCAAATTTGGGATTATTCTGGGGGAAATGATCATCGTTAGTTCTAAAAGAAGAGAATATAATTAAATACTTAGTTTAGACATGGTAAAATATAAATTCCCTAAAAATATAGCACGATATACATAGAGACACTGACAAAAAAGAAAATAAGCTTGCATAAAGCTTTGCTATGAACTTGACTTAATGTTTGTACCACAATGAATATACAAATGGGGAGTATAGACACTTCAGGCTTGCTATTGTATCATTCAATGTGTTCAATCCATAAAATCAGATGCTTGTAAGTTAAACTTCAAATTGTTGTAAGATAAAAGAACCGTCAGTATTTTGAAACAAAAATTGTAGAAAGCTGATCAGGCTTTGAAAAAAAAATGATGAGAACTAAAAAGAAAGCCATGGTCTGGGGTGGAGGTTTCTGGAGCAGTTTAAGGAGGTCCCCCCCGCACCCCCCCACACTTTTGAATAAATCTTTTGGCTTGATCACATTAACGGGTGCTGCACAGCTTGCAAAGCTATGTTCTTTCTCCCGGTGAGACCTTGCTCAGGCTTGTAGTTCCATTTGGAAGAATAATTTTTAATATCTCTTTCTAGGCTGAGCATTAATCCCCCCACTGCTTGATCGATTAAATCCCACTGTCTGTGCCTGGAAGGCCATGTCTGAGCTTTATGTATTGTTTCCTGGCAAGTCCCATTGCCATGCTCTGTGGAACAGATGTGGCAGTGTAACCATGTGCAACAGGCTCTCCAGCCTTCAAATCTTGGGGGCATGACAGGTATAGTGTCTCATTTTAACATTTAATAAATTTACAGGCCTTGTGAATAAACTGGTTCATGAATTTGGTTCATAACTTTTGTATGGCGTTTAATAGCTGACAAGGTGAGAATACATTACTTCATTTGATCTTGACAACAGTTGTTTATGGGAAACAAAGCTTTATTATCCTCCATTTTTGGAAGGAGGAGAGACTATGCACCTTGCCTGGGTTCACAAGGCTAGGGGCCATCTTACAATTAAAACCCAGAACTTCTGGATTTTAACACCAAGATTGTTCTGTGATTCGCATAATAAAAACAAGATGGGAGAATTATAGAGGACTTTCCAAAGGACCTACTCTACCCATGTGCTGTGAGTACAGAAAACAGAATGACAACATAAATGTCACATCGCTGCTAGCTTGAGCAGAACAAAACAAAGAAATAAACCATTTCAGTGTTGCCTCCAGGATAAGAAGTATTAGAGAAAATTGCCAAGATACTTTGAAAAACTCTAACTGTGACCAGCCCTCCTCCTGGAAGATAAGCAGGCCTTCCCTGTTAGGGCTCTGTTAACTCCTCAGTTCTCAATGCCCTGGTCTACATTCTCAGCATTTCATATGTGCTCTCTTCTCACAGGGCAAAACCCAGGAAGGTAGAATCTTGAGATGAATGATTCAAGAGCAAGCATCTTATTTAGGAGAAGGAAAAAAAAAACAAGCAAAAAAACAAAACACCCTCTGGCCCAGGTTCAGGAAAAGAATGGTGGGTCAAGAAATGCATATTGTAGAACTAGGTACCTTCTGGGCAATTGGAGCTTCGTCTCATGATTCAAACCCAGAGACATCCCTCCCAGGGGGAGGGAGCAGAGTGTGCATAGGCCAACTCCCCTGTCAGTCATTGTTGAGAGCTGCCAGGAGGGGCAGGAACTTCCCCACCCACCAATGCGTGTTGCAGGAGGGCAGAGGGGCAGCCTGTAGCTTAGGAAAAAGTTCCCTGGCAAAGAAATGGGGATTTTGGGAGGACACTGGCTCTCATAAAATGCCTGAGGGACATGATAGGACACCTGTGAGTCTGATATAACAGGATCAAGGTCTCACCATTTTTTTTTTAAATGCTTTTTCAAAATCCAGAATAGTATTTGAGGGTATTTTAATTTGCTCATAACTGTGAACATAGCCTGATGTCAGGGTGGATTTGAGAAATGTTTATAGATACACATTAAATTTTAACTGATGAGGAATATGGAAAGAAAGCAGGAACAATAGAGCCCTGAATCACAGCAGCTTCCCAGAGGGACAAGTCTCTACTCACACTTTCTCATAAATCTTGTCAGGGTGCTCTGGCCACTCGATCATGCACACAACTCTGCTGGGCATAGTCTCCGTGGTTGAGTAATAGCCCTGGGGGAAGGCCAGCAGGAGAGCCAGGACCCAGATGACGCAGATGACCACTTTGGTGGCTGTGGCTGAGAGCCGGGGCTGGAGGGGATGGATGATGGCCATGTATCTGGAACAGAGAAGAATGGACAACGTTCTGATTTGGTCATCAAAATCTGCCAACAAAAATGTTCCAGAAACACTTTGATTCCCGATGACGTTTTCCCAACCTGTTTCCATATTTTATCCTTAAGTTTTATGGCTTCTGACTCACAATGCTAAAATCCATACAAAAAATCACCAACAGTTATGTGCTACATATCAACACTTTGGCCAAAGACAGACCACATACATTGAGGTGGTGCCATAAGATTGACTAACAACATAATAGTTGTCCTAGTTTGTGTGAGTATACTGCATGGCGTTCGCACAACAATGACATTGGTTGATGAATTTTGCAGAATGTGTCCCCTTTCATTAAGCTGCATATGATTGTGGTAGTTTTTAAAGCCCTAGTGGGGCATGATAAAGGTTATCAATCCTGCATCAGAAAACAGGGGCCGGAAGGCAACAAACTAAATGGTGAACTAAATGGTATCATTTGAATGAATACATCCACATGTTTGAATTTGTGCACAGCCTCTAAGATGCTGCAGAGATGTGAGGAAAAAACAAATACTACAATCAGCATTTTATATCAGTTATAAACACATCGATTCTGCCTCTTTCATTTAAAAGCCATCTCCCTATGTGTATTTTTCTTACAATGTTTATGGATTTATCTCTTAAAATATGCATCTGTTTAAAAAAGTTGCAGCTATGTTTTTTTATACATCATTTGGGGTTTAAATATTATTTGACCAAAACCTCAGAATCACACACTTGATTCTCTGGCATGCAGGTATTTCTGGTCTCCGTGGGACAGAATGGTCCATGAAGACTTCAGAAACGCACAGACAAATAGCAGCACATCTGTCAGCTGGCTTCGTGTAATTCCACATAATCCTTTCATTGTGTTTTCTGAACTCCTACAACCTTTGGGCAAGAAGTGGGACAGGGTAATAAGGAAAGCAATTTCATTCAGCATGCATTTTACAATTTTCACCGGGCACCTGCTGCCTGCAGAACACACCCTTTCCTTCTGGGCATTGAGGATCTAATTTCTCCAGGGAAACAAGGAGCATCAATAAGCAACCACAAAACCCAACGGCAGGAAAAATGACCTCAAGCGGTAATCTGATCAGTACCTTAGAGCCTTAGGGAGTCTGCAGAAGTAATCAAGTCTTGGAATAGTGGGTGATTTCTTGGAGGGGCTTCAAGAGGTACGCTCAGCTGGGTTGGGGGTGAACCTGTTGAGTATCCTGCTCCAAGGGCAGGAAGTGTTTGGAGCCCTTCCTCCTCTGGGATAGGATTGGATCTGACTTTCTGAAAAGGGTTGATAGCTTTGTTTTGTAGATTTCTTCCCTGAGCATCTTTTTATCATTTCTCTGCTTTTTCTGTGTGTGTGTGTGTGTGTGTGTGTGTGTGTGTGTGCTAGGGACCTGATCTTCCTTTTTCTGTTGGCAAGAACAGCTACACTGAAGGTGTTCAGTATAGGGAGGCTGCATTTGGGGAATGCTTCGGGTCAGCCTTTGTATACACAGTCAGAAGTCACGATAACTTCCGGGAAGGAATCTCCAGAAACTTCCTTCTGCCCCTTTCAAAAAGTAAGTAGGTGGTCTTGAAATCAGGAGAGAGTGGAGTTAGAAAAGACTTGGAGTAGATGTTACGGTGGGGGTGAGTAGCAAAATAAAAATCTTTGGGGATGCTTCCCTGGCTAGTTGGTAACAATGAAATATTTTACTCAAATACTGTCTGAAAGGGCAAAGAGAGTTCTCAAGACGCTGTGAATCAAGCATCACCTGTGTTCTTTACATTATCCCAGAGGGCCACAGTTACCATTAAGGGAGTCTCTCGTACCATAGACTTAAATAATCTTCCCATCTGGATTAATCTCCTAAAAAGCACCCTGAGAAGTCTTGATTCCTGTCCCCAACCCCAGACCTGTGACATCCTTGTTGCCTGACAGGATGGAACCTGGGTTTCCTGTATAGACATGGGATAATAGTGGATGGGAGGAACCCCTGAGTCAGAGCCAGTGGAGGTGGGCCTGTTCAACCATCAATCATGTTTACCTTCTTTCTAGTTTGGTCAAGGATGGACCTAGATCGTCAGGAACCAGAATCATGACCAGAATCTCTTTGTGTGTTTGCATTATAATTGTAGGAGCACTTACTGGATCATTTCCCAAAAGCAAGATTTCCACAAACCTGGACAGGGAGCATGAAGATGCCTTATTTTACCTCCAGTCCAATGCAGGCTGCTTCTCCCCGCACCGGCAGCTGTGCATTCTTAGGCTTCAAACCAGATCCAGGAAGATGCACAGGGGAGAGTGTGGTAATTACATTGCCCTCTTTTAATATTATCTCAAATGTAAGATTTTAATTTGTTTCTAACTCAGGATAAATACTCAGTCTTAAATAAATGAATCCTAATAACCATCCCCGTGCCCAAATTGGTGATACACCATTTAGAATCTAATGTGACTGTACTTAAGGGGGATTGCATCAGAATATTAGCACTAGAGCTTCAAATGGGTGGCAGAAAGCCATATTTTATCTTTACTGCAAAAATTGCAATTTGGGAGCCCATTTCAGTTAACTCGCTGCCTTTTTTTGAGTGTAGGAGCCATTTCAATGACAGATGAAAGTATTCCCCATACAAAGCCAGAGAGAATAAAAAAAGATTGGCTTTAAAAAATGTATATATTTTCATTTGTTCAAAATAGAGCCATTTATAAATCTTCCTTCCTCCTTCCCTTTCTTCTTTCTTTCTCTCTATTGCTATCTTTACTTCTGAGGCTTGTATAATTTGCTTATAAATGTATATATTTTCATTTGTTCAAAATAGAGCCATTTATAAATCTTACTTCCTCCTTCCCTTTCTTCTTTCTTTCTCTCTATTGCTATCTTTACTTCTGAGGCTTGTATAATTTGCTTATTTCTTATTTATTCAAATACTTTTGCCATTCGGATAACTTGTACATGGATGAATATTTTCTTTCTTACTCCCCATTCCTAGTTTGGATTTCATGAATATACAATTATATATTTATTTGGAACCACCCTGAACAAAYCTTTCTTATTTGATTATAGGAGATCACTGAGAAATTGCTCCAAGCCGTAGGAAAATACATTCAATAAGTATTTATTGACTGCACTGAGCTCATGAGACTGCAAGGCAGTCAATGAAACATCTTTCTGGTTTATGCATTAATCATCAGGCTGCCAGAGACAGGGGTCCGGAAGCTGTGTGGGATGTGGATTGTGTTCTCCACTTCAGGTTGTTTCATTCCCATGGAGGGCCATCAGACCTGATTAGAAATGTATATGGCCTGAAAAACCAAAGGTATAGTCTTCCTTCTGTGTGACTGTGCATTATAAAAAGATCTCTCATTATGCATTCCTGAAATCTGGCAAAATAGAATGTTGCATATTTTTTAAATAGAGTGAAACAATTTTATTGTAAATAAGAATTCATTTTCTGACAAACAGCAGTGCCTTGTAACTTCCTCTTACCCCAGCCCTAAATCAATGGGCAGAGAGAATGTCTTTTCTCCCTCAGAAGATTTGTCTTACTGGGCTCTTCATCCATAGTCTTCCATCTAATTCTGCTCCCTCCTTTTCTGATCTCCAGGAACTCCTTCCTCATATGGTGTGAGGTTCCCATAAGGGACCACATCTTCCTGAGTTCAAATGACCAAGGGTGAGGACTGCTGAGAGTGTAGCTCTAGATCAAGGGCTGGCAAACYTTTTCTGTAAAGGACAGATAGCAGATATTTTAAGCTTTGAGGCACATGTACTTTCTGTCACAACTACTCAACTCTGCCTTTGTAGTTACGTAAAAGCAGCCATGGACAGGAAAGAATTGTTGGGCATGACCATAAGCCAATATAACTTCATTTGCAAAAACAGATGGTGGGCTGGATTTGAGTGCTGGACCATAGTTTGCTGGCTTCTGRTAGAGATTATGGGAGATGAGGAACAGGAGGAATTAGAGCCATGGGACAACATAGTGTAAACTTCAGAAACACTCATCACCTTTGACAGACTGAGAATGCTGAGACTGAAGTCCACTGGGTAGATATTAGTCAGTACAGTGGCTACTGGTTTAGATGTGAGGTGTTCCCCAAAAGGTCATATGCAAGACAATGCAAGAAGGTTCAGAGGAGATGATGGGGTTCTAAGAGTCTTAACCTAATCAGTGAATTAATCCCCTGATAGGGATTAACTGAGTGGTAACTGAAGTGGTTGGGTGTGGCTGGAGGAGGTGGGAATGGGGTGTGGCTATGGGATATATATTCTTTATCTCCAGTGTGGAGTCTCTCTCTCTTTGCTTTCTGACCAACATGTGAGCGGTTTCTCTCCACCATACTTGTTGGCCATGATGTTCAGCCTCACCTTGAGCCCTGAGGAATGGAGCTGGTCCTCTGAAACCATGAGCCCTCAAAAAAACTCTTCCTCCCCTACGATTGTTCTGGTTGAGTYCTTTAATCACAGCAGTGAAGAAGCTGAGATTATGATGTGAGAATAACCACTGCTTGAAATATTTTCTGTATACAGTCATCCAGGATCGTCCTGTGGGAGTGATCTCATGGTCCCTGGTCTTCAGAATTTCTTCTCTCTTGACATTAAGCCCTTAAGTAAATTTCTAATAATTCTTTGTTGACTGTCTAACTTCRTCACTGACCGTATGCCGGGAACTGTGCAGCATTCAGTCTTTCTACACAGTACGCCCTCCAGCTCTTYGTCTAAATAAGTTCTGTCATCTTTTCGTCTACTTCCATGTCAGAGAGGACTCAGTCTTTTTACTGAGGTCACTAACATTTCTTCATCAGTTGGGATTTTGTTCCGGGGACCTGACTTTTATCTTTTATCCAGATCACTTTACCAACAGCCTCATCTATGCCACCAAGCTCCAGTTCTCACAGCTATAACCAAAGAGGCCTTTGAACCACCTCCAGAGATGGCACAAAGTTTACACACCACTGAGCATTTCACTAGCGCCAGCCTCCCCCACATCCTCACTGCT